AAATACAATACATATAGAGATATATATATATATATATATATATATAGATATACGAAAATCATTTTGAGCATGAAGATATATTCTACGCATAAATCCCATAGTCACATCCCCCAAGATACTCATAACTCATCCATATCTCATCACATAGCAGACTTTGTTGGCGCCACAGGACCAATCGCATGCCCATACATGAGGGTCAGCGCATATAGCTCTGACACGGTCCCGCAGCACCCTGCCCCGTATCGCAACACGGAGGGGTCGATCGCAGCCGACCGATGAACCGCAGCTCATCATAGTTTGATCGCAACCAAACAGTGGACCGCAGCCCAAGAGTATGTCATCTGACCGCAGCCAGGAAAGTATGAACCGCAGCTCATGTAGAAACGTTTGATCGCAACCAAACGGTGGACCGCAGCCCAAGAGTGTAAATTTGACCGCAGCCAGCTTCTGAACCGCAGCTCAGGGATAACCAATCCGATCGCAACCGAATTGGGGTGTCATGCACACATAACACATAGCAAGCACATGCAACCCACATTAACACATTGGGAAGGGGAGAAAGCGTATAACAAAACCTATGCGTGATCCTTCACATACTAAGAATGGTCCTAAGGGGTTCATACTTCTTCCACCTAGGTCAACGGGATACCAATTCAACTAGCATGCAATATATAAGACTCATAACCTACGAACGGTACCCGAAACATCAAACTAGACACGGCACGATGAACGGAGTCCGTTGGGACACCACGGGGATCGGGGAAACATCAAACGGGGAAGCCGGGGTCCCGAATGGGGGAGATTTCCAGCGGGTAGCCGGTGGGTGGGGGGGCCACCCGCCGGCTGCCCGCCGGTAAGTACTGTTCTGGGCAGCGGGTCGCCGGCGGGCAGCTGCCCGCTGCCGGAGACGTCCCTTCTGGCCCCGGGTAGGTGGCGGGGTCCCCTACCCCCCACTGACTCTTTATACACAAAACGCCCCGGGAACCATTGTGGAACCCGAAACCATGCTTAGACACTTTACAACGCAATTAACGATCAACACGTAGACAGTTAACGGATCAAATACGAGAAACGTATGGCACATAACCTATCATGCTTTTCTAAACATAATCGACACCCAAACATGCGATTTCCCCACCCGATACACCAAGAATAATATCATACGATACAACCTAGGGTTCTAATCACTTTTATACCAACAAGAATACGATTCGTCTTCTAATTACAAGATTCGGTATAAATAACACATAAGCATCAAGAATGCCATACAATTATCAAGAACGACATATAAACATCAAGAACTCCACATGATCATCAAGAACACCATAATTATCAAGAATCTCCCAATATCAAGATCACCCATGAAATTATCCCATCAATCATCAATAATAATATCACAAATCATCAATACACGATAATATGGGAAAATCCTACGGGGGAAATCATAGCTATAAAAATAGGTTTTGTTGAGACATGGGTTACCTCTTAGCCTTAATTAATTCCTTGGCTATGAATGGTCTTTCTTTAAGCTTTCTTGCTTTCTTGATTTCTTCTAAGGGAATTCTTGGAGCTCTTTTGGGATGGTGAGTCGTTTATTGTGGTGGTGGGGGGGGGGGGGGGGGGGGTTCTAGGTGCCTCTTAAGTCCCCTATTTATATATTTAGGAGTCCTGATTAGGAACTAATATTATAGGCTTGCTAATTCTATTCCTTTTGGAACTAAGGATTGGGTTTAGGGATAAGGGCCCATGGACTATGGTGGGCCTTTTTCACTAATTAATTATTATAATTTATTCTTTCTCTTGGGCTATGGGTTAATTAATTAATTGGTTTTAGGGGTCGTAACACGGGGTGTTACACTCAAGAACAAAACTTAACGTGCGTCATTTTAACACTTAAGGTGCGTTGTTATAACACTTAAGGTGCGTTGTTCTAATACTTAAGGTGCGTATTTCTATCACTTAATGTGCGTCATTTTTAGCTCTTTTTTTTTCAGACACGCGTGTTTTTTCATTGATTTGAACCGTTGATTTAGATTTTAATGCTTAAAGTGCGTCAACCGCACATGAAGCTTTTACCGCACCTGAACCCTTCCCTATATATATATATATATATATATATATATATATATATATATATATATATATATATATATATATATATATATATATATATATATACCGTCTTCTCACGCGCCCTTACAAAACAACTACTGCGAGAACCTTTCCTTTTTTTTTTTTTTTTGTCTAGTGGAAGCTGGCGGGCAGGGCTATGTGTGTGTGTGTGTTGTGCGCAATTAACCACGTGGTGGACATGCAACCATACACTCAATGCAGCAAAGATTTAATCTATTGAATCATCTGCTGTGAACATTCATTTTTGCCTTTTCTCTTTCAATTTACGCAAATACAGTAAGAATAGTGAAGTGATGGACAATCTCTGGCAACAATTGATGATATAAAGCTACCGCCAGTTTGGTTCCTGAATGGAGCATTAATCTTTAGGAATGATTGATTTCCAATGGACGATGAAAATACCACTCTAACGAACTGGGCAATTTTCCTTATTCGTTGCAGTTGTATTGGTCTTTCCAAGTTTTTTTCTTATCCCTGCAGATAGAAGCTTGTCTGATAAAGAAAAACATGAGAATATAAAATTTACCTGATTGAAAAGCTAAGCTCCAAATTGCACTTCCTCGAGCTTCTGTTTCAGTCTTCGTGATGGAGTGCTAGGTTTTGGGCTATATTTATAGGTAATTTAGGAGTGTTTGAGTACAACATGGAGTTGGGAGATTGAGTTTGATTTTAATTGGGTTTATCAGTTTTGTATGGAATTATGTTTCTTCTATGTGATTGCCGGATGATACAAGTCGAGGAATTAAGCATGTATGTTTTTAAGGATTTTTTTATTTAAATCCTAATAATTCAGCCAGGCAGTTGAGTTTTAATGGGAGTTTGAAATTTAGTAAATTCTTCCAAAATGTTGAACCTAAACCCTAAGGGCCCCCCACACCCCGACCCGACAGAGCATTTGGGAGGTTGAAATTTAGTAAATTTAACAGAGAATTATAAAACTAATAATGAAAAATATAATTTTTAACGGGAAAATGAATAATATAATATTGTTGAATAGAAATATGAATTTTAATATTGTTATTTTGTATTACGAATATGAATTTTAATGTAGAATTGTAGTACGAATAGGAAAGTATGAGACCACATATTCTATTAGGAATTGTATTACACTATTTTATAATATTAGAATAGGAATTTTAATGTAGAATGGTAGTAAAAGTAGGAAACAATATATTCTATTACTAATTGTATTACACTATTTTACAATATTAAGCAAATCTTAATAGTATAGGACTGTTTTAAGCGCAAAGTTAAAATTGAAGATTTTGTTTTTATATATAGTATAGATATATTGTACATATTATTTGATTTATTTTACAATTATTATTTATTGACATACCTCATTGACTTAATAATTTTAAATATGTAATAATATATTCAACCGTTTATTTCTTGATAAATTATTTATTGATAGACATTCTAAACAATTTTTTTCTTAGGATTTTGGAATTATGTTTTTTAGAAAATATTTATGGGAAGCGTAAAAAAAAAAAAGAATTGCGCAACTAACTAACTCAATCTCAAAAGGGAACTCTTGAAAATTTCATTACAAAAGAATATCAAATAGATGGCCAAAAGGATCATGCCAATGAAAATTTGTTTGATACTAATCTTCATAAAGAAGATTAATATGATTGTGACTGGAAAAAATTTAAATGATAGTGTGGACAACAATGATAAGTATCACTGTGATGATGAAAATGATAAGAATGTTGATAGTTGTTTTAGATTATGGTGGTCAGAATGATAAACCAAATTATTCATTTTTATTTGACATAAATTATCTAAGCAATTGAGATGCCCTTGACTCTAGATTAATATATATTTTTGTGAATAGGGGTCCAAATTCAGATGTCGCACATGACCTCTCTATTTATTGGAACGGCCTTGGTGGTTTGCGTTCTTAAGGTGCGTGGTTTGTGTACTGAAGATGCTCTATTTTCATACTTAAGGTTAAGTTGCTTGGTTCCTTCCAAAGGCACGTTTTTTATTTTATTTTAATTTTCATTGATTTGAGTTGTTGATCTAGATTTGATCAACAACTTAGATTAAACCGCACGTCCACACCTGAGCAAATTACCGCACCAGAACCTGTCCCTATATATAGTCCCAGGTGAAAAATGGGGTGAGATTTGAGCAATTGATCAAATCTAGATCAACGGCTCAAATCAATGAATTTTTTGAAGAAAAAAAAACGCGCGTCTGAAAGGAAACCACGCACCTTAACATTAAGCATTAAAATGACACACCTTAAGTACACAAAACATGCACCTTAAGCACACAAACCATGCACCTTAAAAAGGAAAATCACGCACCTTAAGCACACAAACCACGCATCTTAAGAATGAAAATCACGCTCCTTAAGTACACAAAACACGCACCTTAAGAAAGAAAATCACGCACCTCAAGTACACAAAACACGCACTTTAAACACACAAACCATGCACCTTAAGCACACAAAACACGCACCTTAAACACACAAAACAAGCACCTTAAGAAGGAAAATCACGCACCAAGTACACAAAACATGCACCATAAGAATGAAAATCACTCACCTTAAGAAGGAAAATTACGCATCTTAAGTTTGACCTAGATGTAAAAATTACCAAATTATCACCGCGTTATTTTTAAATTTTGTTAATCCTGGACGTTGATTTTAACGAGATAAATGACGCAGATTTAACTCCACAACCGCACATGACACACTCAACCACACGGGAACTGATTTATATATATATATATATATATATATATATATATATATATATATATATATATATATATATATATATATATATATATATATTTATATTTATTTATTTATTTATTTATTTATTTATTTATGTTAACGGTAGGTACAAAATATATTAACTACAAAATCTGAATATTATTTTTAGACCAATATCTACAATGCAAGGTCAACCTTGGTCCATAGTATAATTTGTCGATCACAACAATGACAAGATTAGCAGTAATAATGAATGGGGCTGCAATGCTGCATAATTGAAAATATTGCAGAGGTAACTTTAGTAAAATAATATTGCAGAGGTAACTTTAGTAAAACGATGATGTGAGCTCGATGTAGGCCAAAGTACAAATGAGGACCCCTCCACCAGCACCATAAGCATGCAGAGAAACACATACCATTTCAATTCACAGTGCAGTTGAAATCCACATGCCTAGCTAGTGAGGCAATGGGAATTGATGATTCACAAATGGGTGCTCTAGTAACTGAGAAGCAGTTGGACGAGCATTTGGGTCGACTTGAAGACACTTGTGTATAAAATCTTGTGCATTGCTCGAAAGCGTGCTAGGCACATCAGGTGGCTTGCCGTTTGCAATCTTAAAAAGAGCCTGAACCTGCAATTGCACAGGAACTGCTGTAAGTCTCTTGAAAAACACATCTGATCTGATGCAAATTTTTGAATCTCCAGCCCATCAAATTGAATTAGCCTCAGTTTGAGTAGCATAACATGAAAGGAAATATGATCACATACAGTCTCGAGATGGAAATAAGGGGGCTGTCGCGTAAGCATCTCCAAGACAGTGCAGCCAAGGCTCCATATGTCTGCGGCAAGCCAATTGCTGTTCCTTCCTCTAACCACCTGAAGCCACAGCTTAATGTAATCAGGAAATTATACTCATTTGCTTAGACGGGCTTCGCTCACTGATTCAGTAGGTAGTATTCTTGAGGCAAAAGACCAAGGTTCGAAACTTGGCAACAGCAGCATGCGGATTATGTCCAAAGTGGACAAATCCCTTGTGCTCACCGACATTTGACCCTGTCTGCTGAACCATTAAGTTACCATGATTTATATCCTCCCAATTGCTCTGTCGGGCCGGGGTGTGGGGGGCTTTGGGGATTCAACCTTTTGGGGCAAGGAAATTATACTCATTTTAGCAATGTTAAAGAGTCCACATTGATAAAATAAGAGAGAACATATGAGTTTATAAGACCATGAGTTAGACTAGCTAATTGGTTGGATTCAATGGTTTGGCCCATATGCATTATAACCTAATTGAGTGACCCTAGCCCAATCTTCTTTTATAACAAGTAAAAGAATCATGACTAACCTCAGGAGCCATCCAGAAGGCAGTACCCGTGATGGACTGCACATTGTTCAGTTTGATGATCTGCACAACTTATTAATCCCAATATTAGACTTCAGATCACATTATCCAAAACAGAACTGAAAGAGGGTATCTGGTGTTATAAAAGAAAAGAAGGGTATTATAATCTGAAAGGAAAATAATATGACTCCAACCTGAGCAAGGCCAAAATCTGCAAGTTTGACAAAGCCAGAATCATCCACCAATATGTTTGCGCATTTAATATCTCTAGGAATACAAAATAAGGTAGACTTCAATACAGACTTATTCCAATGAATTACATAACAAATGAAGATCGATGCAAGCAATTGGTAATTCAATCTGCAAATTCTTGCTTTCAAACAGCCTGACTTGATAACCATGCTTCTACAGTGTACTAGAATCAACATGAAAACTTGTTTTAATTTGTTCAAGTATCAAGAGAACACATGATAAATTCTACAGCTTATCCAGAACAATAGAGGCAATAGCACGATGATTCATGCAAGAGAAACATTTAAACATTTATTTAGTTACCTGTGGGCTACATGTTGGTCATGCAAATACTTCAACCCATGCAAAATCTGCTTTGTATAAGCAGAGACTTGGGAGTCTTGAAGATGATACCTATGATATAAACTCCGAAGGGACCCACGAGATACCAGCTCAAGGAATATATACAGTTTTGAATCATCCTGCAAAATAAAAAAAAAATGAATTAATTAGCTGAAAAACCACTCCAAATTTTAGAGCAGAAGCAGCAGAGCACCCATACGAACTACCAGAAACCTATTTTATTCCCAACATCTAAATGCTTTACTTTGAGGAATTCAACATTGCAACAATGCAAAAATTTACAGCCAAGGGTTATGTAAAGAGAAATGATTGAAGATATCTATATTTGCATAGAGATACCAACAAAAGTAACAGCAAGAAAGCAAAAGAGGCGTTACCTTGTCTGTACCATAATACTGTACTATGCTCTCATGCTCAAACTGACTTAAGAGAGTTATTTCCTGATTAAAATAAAAAGTGGAATATAAATAAATCAAGAAGGGAAAAGAGCAAGTAGGAGAATATTGAGATTAAAGAATTATTGGCCGACAGTTTGGTGCAATTAACCTGTTCGAGTTGGTTAATATGTTGCCTTCCATCATCACCTTGATCCTGTAAGGACATTTCCTTCACGGCAAAAACGAAGCCATCACTGCAAAGAGCATATTGAAGGATTAAACCCAAAAGAAAAAAAAAAAATCGCAGAAAAATGAATTTTCCAATTCAACAATTAGCCAAAGGAAAATACCCTCATTTTTCTTAGAAAATGACTTCACCACTTTTTTGCAAAGCCATTTTCCAATTTCCACACCACCACTATCACTACCACCACTACCACCACCACCACCACCACCACCACCACAATATAAATGTTGTTATATTCTAAACAAAACAATTAAAAAGATATTGTCATGTTAAAGAATCTGAGATTATAAGGTGGGAGTTGCGAGCTTGAAGCAGAGAAAATAAGAGAGAAATTCTGATTTCATAAATGACAAAAACATAGCCCTGCTCAAGCCAAAAAAGACACAATTCAGAACACACAAAATAACATAAGGAATTCTCCTAATCCAGTGGAATTAAAGACAGCTTCCATGGATGCTCTGAATCAATAGATTAATTTAACTGCTAGGTCATAGGATACCGATTGTGGATAACAAGAAAAAATAAAATAAAAATGGTAGCATAACAAACACTTACTCTCTCATGCATTCATATGCTGATCCAAATGATCCATGACCCAAAAGTACACCCTTCTGCCATTGCCAAGAAGTAATAGGGTGTATGGATCTCCAATTTGGAGACATTATCGACATATGCTCCGTTGTAGTGCTAGAAAAAATCAATTAGAACATTCATTAAATTATCTTCATGAGATGGAATTTCAGTTTATTTAATCAGAAAAATATGTAAAAAGAAACATATCATCCTTATAAGCTTCTTCATCCTCTCCCTCCTGATTTTTAAAGTTGACATATTATCTACACATTTCGATGTGTTGCATGATTTTATTGTTTTCATTTAAAAAAAAAAATTGTCAGTATGCGAAGTAAAACAAAAAATCCAGAGTAACGAGAAAGAGCTGTGGCGAAGAATGAAGAAGAAGAAATAAGGGCTGCAATGCAAAGTCGTACCTGAATCAAGAAGGAAAGCTGGGATGAAAGAAGGGAGGAGAGAAAGCCGAAGCAAGAAGACGAGTACTTGACTTATTGATTTTAAGCCTCTTTTACGCCGTTGACTTGTCGACTTTACTTCAATTCAAGAAGGGTGGAGAGAAAGCGCGTTTCCGACGACGGTTTGGTCACGTTAATTTTTTTTTTTTTTTTTTTTTGAGAAAAGGAGGGAAAGTCATTCACTCCAAACAACCATACTCCGAAAGGGAATGCTTAACTAATGTTCCATCGCACGGAATAGATTTGTTGTAATATATTAAGAATATTTGGATCGATATATAATTATTTAAATTAGAACATCAAATATTATATAGTTCAATTGAATATACGGGTTGGATCATTTATGTGTTTTTATATTATCATTGTATGAATTTAAGCAAATAATTGCTCAAATTAATAGCTAATGTGTAGATGTATGCATTTAGTGTTATAACTTTGGAGATTTTTTTTTTATCATTGTTTAGTATTTTTTTTTATAAATTATACAAATGTGTTCGTTTTCTAGCAACTCAGTTATATGAATGAATTGTTATCTTAATTCATTTGTATGGAGGATATTTTTTTTGTCTATACATATAGCAATTTTGTCATTTAAAAAATATAATATCAACGATTTTATTTACACATTGTTGAAACCTCTTTGTAGACGACATTGGTAGTAGCAACACAATCTTGTCCATCATCGTCTAGAGCTAACACCTTCAATTGATCAGGATGGGTGACTCGGTGAAAATATATAATGGTATAATATTAGTCAATTAGCGATCCTTTTATATTTTAAATAAATTAGTAATATCATATTCATTTTCAGTCAATTATTCTTTTGTATTTTTAGTCAATTAGAATATTACATGGAGTGATATTTTTACCTAATTTGTGTTCCATTTTTAATTGAGGATGTATAATATTATTATTGAAATATTTCTGTTCCATTTGTAATTTACCTTTACTATTGTTTAAAATATGCATTTACTATTTATGATGTAGAATATTATTATTGAAATATTGGCGTTCAATTTTAGTTTCCCTTCCATTTTAATTAAAATGCAATGGTCTAACCATTTATTTTTTTCATATTAGTCAATTATGAATAATTTTTTATTTGCAGTCAATTATTAATATTCATTTCCTTTTAAATTTTCAATCCATTAGTAATATCATATTTATTTTCATCCAATTACTTCTCTTTTATTTTTAGTCAATTAATCAATTAGCGAACTAAAATATCAAATGCAATGATATTTTTACCAAATTTTCGTTTCATTTTTAATTGATGATTTAGAATATTATTATTGAAATATTTCCATTTCATTTTTAATTTTCGCTACATTTTTAATTTACCTTTACTATTGTTTAAAATATGTCTTTAGTATTGATGATGTAGAATATTATTATTGAAGTATTTCCTTTTCATTTTTAATTTACCTTTAGTTGATAGTGTAGAATATTATTATTGAAATATTTACATTATATTGTTTAAAATTGTGTAAAATTTATGACATACTTGTGATTTGATGTATTATACTGTGTAATATTATTGTGAAAAATTAAAATGCAATGATCTGACCATTTTTTTTTCTATTTTAGTCAATTATGAATATTTTCTTATTTTCAAACAATTGTTAATATTCATTTCCTTTTTCAATTAATCTAATGTTTGTTGCCAAGCACCTTGTGCTTAGATGGCATGTAGTGACCTCTCTTATGTGGGAAGTCATGAGATCGAGCCTTAGTGAAGGTGTTGGTTGAGAAAATATGTTTGAACAGATATTTATTTATTTACTTAATTTTCATTCCATTTTTAATTGATAATATAGAATATTATTGTGAAATATTTTTGTTCTTTTTTTTTTTCATCATTTTTTTTTAATTTACCTTTACTATTTACTATTGTTTGGGCGATAAATCAAGTAGAATTTTGTTTTTAATTATATTATAGATTTTTTTTCTTTTTCTATTGTTTGGGTGTGAAAGTAAGGAAGAAGGATTTTCTTTTTAATAATGGTATAGATTGAGAATCTTTTTATATTTACCTATTTAACTTTTTTTTTTTTGAATGTACCTATTTAACTTATTATTATTAGTATTAATCAGTGACTTTTTCTTTTTTCTATTTTTAGTGAATTAAGGATCCTTTTATATTTTTCTATTTTAATGTTAACTTTTAAGTTTACTGATTATTATTAGTATTAATTATTCAGTGAATTCCATTTCATTTTCTATTTTTCGTAAATTATGAATCTTTTTTTTTTCAATTTTTTTTGTAGGATTGTTTTTACTGTTATTTTTATTATGACCCCTTTTTAAAAAAAAAAATCTTTCATTTTCATTGAATTAAGAATCCTTTTTTATTTTCAATTTTACTGATTATTATTAGTATTAATCAGTAAATTTTGTTTATTTTTCCATTTTTAGTGAAGTAAGGATTTTTTTTTTTCTTCATATTTTACTGCTTATTTTCTGACTGATTATTATTACTATTAATTAATCAGTGAATTTCATTTCCTTTTCTATTTCTCGTGAATTAAGAAAATTTTTTTATTATTCTAATTTTTGGTAGAATTTTCTTTTTTTTACTGTTATCCTTATTATGACCTTTTTTTTTCACACCCTTACGTTTCTTTTTTCCATTTTCATTGAATTAAGACTCTTTTTTTTTTTTTACCAATTATTATTAGTCATAATCAGTAAATTCCATTTATATTTTCATTTTTAGTGAATTAAGGATCTTTTTTTTTACTGATTATTGTTAGTTTTAATTAATTAGTGAATCCCGTTTCCTTTTCTATTTTTTTGTGAATTAAGGATCTTTTTTTCTATTTTACTACTAACTTTTTTACTAATTATTATTAGTATCATTAACTGGTAATTTATTTTTTTTATTGTTTGGGCGGGTAAGTAAGAAATGGGGGTTTAGTTTTTAAGAATAATAATGAATTTTAGTGAGTTAAGGATCCTTTTTATAGAATTCTCTTTCAATATTTAAATACATTAGCATAGTAATTACACCAAAGAAGGAAAGAAAAATTATTAGAATAATTGTATTTTCACCCGTTCGATACACAGAATGGATTTGTTGTAATATATTAAGAATATTTGGATCAATATATAATTATTTAAATTAGAACATCAAATATTATATAGTGCAATTGAACATATGGTTTGGATTATCTATGTGTTTTGATGTTATCATTGCTTAAATTTGAGCAAATAATTGCTCAAATTAATAGCTAATGTGTAGATGTACGCATGCGTTGCTGTAATTTTGGAGATTTTACTTATCATTGTTTAGGTTTTTTTTTTTTTTTTTTTTTTTTTTTTTTTTTTTTTTAATTAGTCAAATGTGCTCATTCTCAAGCAACTCAGTTATAGGAATGAATTACTATCTTAATTCATTTGTATGGAAGATATATATTTTTTTGTCTAGATATATAGCAAATTTGTCATTTAAAAAAATATCAACGATTGTATGTACACATTATTGAAACATCTTTCGACATTGGTAGTAGCAACACAATCTTGTCCATCATCGTCTATAGCTAACACCTTCAGTCCATCATGATGGGTGACTCGAGTGAAAATATATAATTGTAGAATATTAGTCAATTAGGGATTCTTTTATATTTTAAGTAAGTTTGTAATATCATATTCATTTTCAGCCAATTATTCTTTTTTATTTTTAATCAATTAGTCAATTAGAATATCATATGTAATGATATTTTTACCTAATTTTCATTTGAGTTTTAATTGATTATGTATAATATTATTATTGAAATATTTCCGTTGCATTTTTAATTTAACTTTATTATTGTTTAAAATATGCCTTTATTATCTATGATGTAGAATATTATTGTTGAAATATTCCGTCAAATTTTAGTTTCCATCAATTTTTAATTAAAATGCAATGATCTAACCATTTATTTTTTTCATATTAGTTAATTATAGATCATTTTTTATTTGCAGTCAACTATTAATATTCATTTCATTTTATATTTTCAGTTAATTAGTAATATCATATTCATTTTCAGCCAATTATTCTTTTTTATTTTCAGTCAATTGGTCAATTAGAATATCAGATGTAGTGATATTTTACCCAATTTACGTTCCATTTTTAATTGATGATGTAGAATATTATTATTAAAATATTTTTGTTTCATTTTTAATTTTCATTGCATTTTTAATTTAACTTTATTATTGATTAGAATATGCCTTTATTATTGATGATGTAGAATATTGTTATTTAAATATTTCCTTTTCATTTTTAATTTACGTTTACTTGATGATGTAAAATATTATTATTGAAATATTTCTGTTCCATTTTTAAAATTGTGAAAGATTTATGACATAATTATGGTTTGATGTACTATATTGTGTAATATTATTGTAAAAAATTAAAATGTAATAATTTGACCATTTCCCTTTTTCATTTTAGTCAATTATGGATCATTTTTTATTTTTAGTCAATTATAAATATTTATTTCCTTTTTCTTTTTTTTTTTTGAAAAATATTTATTTCCTTTTTCAATTAACCTAATTTATGTTCCTTTTTTCATTTTTAATTTTCAGTCAATTATTAATATTCAGTTATTTTTTCAGTTTACCCAATTTCCATTCCATTTTTAACGGATGATGTAGAATATTATTGTGAAATATTTATGTTCTTTTTTTCCATTCTTTTTTTAAAATTTACCTTTACTATTTACTATTGTTTGGGTGGAAAATCAAGTAAATAGGATTTTGTTTTTAATTATAGTATAGATTGACTCATTTACGAATTGGTTCAATAAATCGTAAATATTACCAATTGTTTGGTCACAAAATAAGCTTTATCTAATTATATCTATATATTAAATTATATATATATATATATATATATATATATATATATATATATATATATTATTTAATAAATTAGAAATTATAAAAATAAAAAATGATTAAATTGTGTAAAGTATATCAGGGAATATTACAGATTATTTGCTTAGAGGAATTACTTACTGAAAAAAATGTAGTGAATTATTTTATTAAAAGT